CAGAGAGCCAGGACTTCGGTTTTACACTTCATCCCAAGGACGGAGCCCATTTTACAATATAGTGCCCCCATCAATATACTGGGGCATTAGGATCCACACAGACCGCAGGGTGAGCGCCCCCTACTGGCCCCACTAACACCTCTTCCAGCAGCAACCTTAGCTTTTCCAGGAGGTCTCCCATCCAGCTACTGACCAGGCTCACACCTGCTGAGCTTCAGTAAGTTGTCAGTTGTGAGCTGCAGGGTGAAACGGCTGCCTTTCTCTTGCATTAGTGGGATAGTTTCACTTGAACCAGTGCATCATAACAATGGTCTAGCTAGCCCATTCTGTGTGGCCCACCCTCAACCGATCCCTGTAAACCCATTTCCCAGAGACCCCCCTGGAATGGGTGGCTGCTGTTCCCATCCCGATCCGCACAACATGGAATGCAAAATGACAGCCCCCCACACCATACCCCACCCCTGCTGTCCGCCAGCGCTGCGCAGGTCTCCAGAAGAGGCTGCTCCTCTCTCCTATTACGTGTGCACGCTACACCTATGCATAACGCCTGAAGAAGGCTTCGCATGTCAAAACGTTGTCTTTTTCTTTTCAGCAGGGAATAAACCTTTTCTCGTTCCTTTGCAGCCTACACGTGCTGACGCAGCTCCCTACTCGAACTTCTTCCACGTGTGCATCCTGACTGATGCCTGGTCTCCTCACGACTCTCTTTCAGGTTCAATGGTTTGTTTTAGGCAGCAGCTGGTGGCAGGCAGCCCGGTCACTTCTGGAGTGGAGGCAGCTGTGTGCGAGAGGGACAAGATCGCGTCTCCACGTTGGCTGTTCAGAATCTCAGAAATTCAGTTAGGGATATACAGAAATGTGACGTATGCAAACAAGACAGAGAGTGTGAGGAATTTTGATTTCAGTGTTTTGGATCCATCTATATTCAACGCCATGAAAAACGTTCTGGCCAACACTGGATTCCAAGCCACATCGGAGCGATTAAGTGCTTTTTTTCCCCTCTTCCACCCTTGAGCGCATAGCTTGCGATGATCAGCAAAGACAGAGAATGTCAGGGGCTAATGAGGGATCAAATCTTTAATCCCTGAAGCAGTTCAATATGAGCAGAGACCGAGAAGTGATAATGAGGTATATACCCCGTGATTTAAATTACAGTGAATAAAACTGTGACGGTAAGGCTAGTGATCGGTCATGGAAAACTGAGGACAGCAGTTAAACCAGGCAGACTGACATTTGCTGAGAAAACTGATATGTCCATACAAAACGATAACCACTTTTTGAATGGAAAATGGGCTGTGTAAAAGCTTGAAACAATTTGCGCACTTTCCCCTTTTCTGGAGTGCCTGTGACCTCAACTAGCTGCAAAAGCTCACAGTTGTCCCATCTGCAGTTATATCTGACGCAAGACAGCCGGGCCCACTGCATTGGCCTGAAAGAGAACCCTATTCTCCTCCATCCTCCTCTCTTTCTCTCCTTGTGGTCTGCATGACAACTGGGCACATTAAAGACACCTAGAGCAAGTAGTTCAGGTGGGCAGCTGCGTCAGCATGCGTAGGCTGCAAAGGAACAAGTAATAGGTTTCTTCCCTGCTGCCGTGGGGCCTTCTTCAGGTGTGAGCAAGTGTCTAGAAGCACGAGAGAAGGGATTTAAGAAGATTTAACCCCTCCAAGGTAGGGTAAAGCAACAGAACACACAGCCATATGGAGGCAGCAGATGGCGAGGCCCAAGTGAATGACTTTAAAAGTCGCTCCATTCAAACAGTCAAACGTGAACCAAGGAGGGCAGTGGGACCAACCCACGTGGAAGTGCACTGAAGACTGAGACCAGGAGGCACTGCACCAGTTGCCCAGACGTGCGGTTTATGGCTACCCCGGCTTCTCTCGAGAAACAGATGGATGAGACTGTTGGATTCATCGGCCGCTCCTACTAAACAGCCTAGAGATGGCGAATGGCCCCCTTGTCTGCAACCATCCCTATGTTCTTACACAGGAGCTCAAGAAGCTTGCTACTGTTTCCAGACCTGAAATCACTACATCACTGCACCTGCTGACTGGCTTAAAGCCATATATTTAATTTTAAATGTTTCCTAGTTTTTTTTAAATAAGGTCAAGAGCTGGACTGAAGTCCCTTGGTTGTCCGTCTCCCCGAAAGGCACTTTTAATTCATTCTTTTGAACACGAATAATAATTCATCGAAGCTTGCAAGCCTGTTAACGCGCTAAAAAGGAAAGTGCTGAAGGAACCAAAACATTAAATACTGACGAAAGGACAAAGTTTTTTTCCCCGTTTTTTAAAGTGTGGAACACATTTCCTGGTAAGCATTGCTTGCGTTTAAAAAAAATAATTCAACTCTAGTCTATGAGGCCATGTTCACCTGACACTAAATTAATTAATTAAAGAGGACGGAGAGGCCTGTACATTCGTTTCATGGTGTTTTAGATTGCTTCAGAAGGTACAAAGATGACTGGGTACGTTAGGAAATAAAAAAACTTTTAAGCCGATAGGTTTCATGAGTTGAATCACTATCCTTCAGAAAGTACTTTAATCACGCAGGTAACCCTGAAAAGGGACAATGTGTATTCTTCCGTTTCACAGGGGGTTAGAACAGTGTATGCCCCTGTGCCGTCTAGTTGCAAAGCCACTCAGAAAAGCTGCAATCGCAGCGCCGCAACGCGAGGCTCGGAGCGAGCGAGCGAGCCGCGAGCTACTCACCGTCCAGGAGACCGGGGGTCGCGTTGCCAAGGTGAAGGTCAACTTTTCCGTCGATACGTTAAATGACACCCGCATCATGCTGTCGCGCCCGGGCCCAGCAGCGGCCCCTCCACAGAGCACGGAGCCGAGCTCTCTCGCTCTCTACGGCGCGAGGCTGCACTGCCCCCTTCCAGACAGCCCCTCTTAGGGAGCTGCGCCCACCTGCTGTCCAACAGCCGCCCCAGTGCCCGCGCAGCACGGCCCCATCTCCCACTGCTGCTCAGACCAGGCCTGCGGCAGCGCTAATCAGATTAGCAGCTTTTACAAGTCTGAGAGGAGCCTGTGCAGAATTTCAGGCAGTCTGGCAAGGCTGCAGGACAGAAAAAACCTGCTGCGCTCCTGAAGAGCAATAAAGTTATATTAATCGTCTGGGAAGGAATTAGGGAGTGCGGGGGTTACGGTGTGTATTCTGTCAAGCCCCGTGCATGCTTGGAATGACAAAGGATGATTGGAGCACAAGGCCAGAGTCCTGCAGCAGTGCTTCTGGTCCCATTTGTAATGTTCCATTTTTTTTTTTTACATTTTGATTGCAGCTTTTGTGCTAATGCAAGCATTATTAAGCAATGAAATCGACTGTGGGTATGAAACATCGCTCTTGGGATTAATGTGCAAGTCACAGAAGCTCCATCTAGTAGGGGCCCTGAAACAAATATGGACACTTGCCAGACAGTTCAGCCTTTTCGTATTGCTGCTCTCCTTTACTTACATAGGACAGGTCACTCCACTCAAAAGTGGCACTGGGGACTCCCCTCCACCACCAGTGTGTAGCATGTGTTACACTCACCACACATCAGCTGCCAGTGGGAAGTTTTAATGACCACAGAGAGTCAGGACCTTGGTTTTATGTTGGCGTAAAAAGTGTCCTTCATCACTATACTGGGGCATTAGGACCCACACAGACCGCAGGGTGAGCGCCCCCTACTGGTCCCACCAACACCTCTTCCAGCAGCAATCTTAGCTTTCTTAGGAGGTCTCCCATCCAGGAACTGACCAGGCTCACACCCGCTGAACTCCAGTGGGCTGGCAGTGAGCTCCAGTGGATTCATTGCACTCACAACCCAAAGGCATACCATACAAGCACTAAATAGCACATACAAAGTATGTGGTATTTGGAATCTCTAACTCCAGAGGGAAAGAGAATGGCTTGCTGTACCTAGAAAAATAATTCACGTGCCAGAGCTGGCACATGAATTGAGGGTTACCAACTGCTAGCCTAGGGCACTCTGTTGCACACTGACCTGGTTTTGCAAAGCACTGTAATTCCAATATACATCAGCCTCTCTTCATAAGTTGAGGAGCTCTGCTCCAGCTTCAAACAAATGGATCATTTGAATTGATCTTTTCTTCACAGTCTATAGGACCTAGAACAGTATTGCACTATGCCCCAGCCAAATCAGCACTCAGAAAACATTTCATCCTTGGACAAGCACTGTTTGCTTTTGCTTTCAACAAATATTTGCAGCTGTTCAGTTAACTGTAACATACCTTTATATTACAACATGCAGCTAGTGTGTATATTATTTAAGCTTACTTCAAGAGCAGCTCTCTTCACTGCATTCATAATGGATTGCTCACACAGTGTAAACATATCAGTTTCACTGTCATTAGCCTGTTGAGTTTTTTACACTAATATTTAGTCAGCCTGTGCTTCAGATTCTGAATTGAAGATGTGTTAAAAATTAGCTCAATCAGCACAGCATGTTTTGTTTAAGGATATATAAGTACATTTCTTTATAAATATCCTGCTTGTTTTTTTCCTCCCTTAAAAGCCTGGCATGAATAATGTTTTTTGGCCAAACATCACTGGATCCATCTCTGCAGATTTTATCACACCTGACAACACTGGGCTCATTATTCTGCACCTGAATACTTAATTAGGTACATAACATATGAATACATTACATCATACAGTATAGGTTGGTGTTAAGTAATTTACTAGGTATACATATATAGTTTAAGTAGGTATTAATTACATTGGTACATATTGTAGGTACACATTGGTATTAAGTAATGATTATAGAGGAACATATACAAAGTATAAATAGGCATTAAGTAATAAGTAGGTGCAGAACAAGACTGTTCACAAGTGCAGATATAAATTAATCCTGGTAAAGCGAAATAATTCTCCCATAACTGGACTGACTTTCATTAACAAACAAATTAAAACTGCACTGATTCAATCACTTAAGAAATCATATTAAGTTAAATCAAAAAATAACAAAGAATAATGAAGACATTCTTGATACTCACAAGATTTGGAGTGCTGATGTATTTCAAGGAGAACCTCTGGAAAAACAAAAGAGATTTGTATTATTACTTATTAAAGCGAGCACATGCATTTTAATTAACAGAGTGACATTTGAAATCACACACATCTTGTGGAGCATTAAAAACATTCTTTGCACAACCTCAGTTTTGTTTGGAAATGTGACAAGTTATAATAACCATAAAATAATGTTTTGCTCCATGTTTCTTACTTTTGCATGCGAGTATTATTCAAGGTATAGAATATTTCTTAACATGCCCAGTATATTTGAGAAGCTTAGTGCCTGGCTTGAGAAGTGTTTTAGCAGTTGTGGCAGAGATCTCAAAGAAAACTTATAGTGGGGGTTACCAGGAGGCAAACTGGTGGGTCACTCTGTCGCGTTTGGTACTGGGAGAATGAATGTTTTCTGGTTTCACATGGGGGGTGACGACCAAAGACATTTTCTTACTTCTTGGTGCTGGTGCTAAGGAGGGTTTCTCCTTGCAAGTTTTATTTCTTGGGGTTAAACTGAAGGATGGCTTATTTTCCTACAACACAAATAAGTGGGGATCTCAAAAAGTATTGGGGTGCACCCCCCCCCCCAGCACAAGCCAGTATGTCCACTGTAAACCCCTCCTAAAGGCTGGCCAGCTCGTAATTAATACCTGAAAAAAAATCGGCACACCTTTAAACATCAGATAGAAGAGAGCTTGAGTTTATCTGAGTGACATGTGATGTTCCACCTTATGAGTGCAGATAAGACATTTGTCGGGGACAATCCCTGCACTAAAACCAAAAAGAACGCAACATTTCCAGAACCAAAGAAGGGGGCTTGCATGTCGCACAACCTGAATGGTTTACTGCTCAGGCTGTGAAACAGAACACTCTATTGTTGAAGATGACAAGAATGAAGCGTCTGTGAGAGACAGAAACTGGCAGCTGATATTATCAGCTTGTCAGCACTGACCTAAGAAGGTAAGACAAAGACCTGCACTCTCTTACTGCTCTCATTGATGAGCTCCTTAAGAACAACAGCGGAGCACAAAGCGGATCCATCCAACCAGGAAATCACCTCTTGAGCACGAGACAGGTTTGCCAGACTTCCTTCTCATCGATACTAGAGAGTGGCATGTAGTTTCTAGGAGGGTCTGGGGTTCGGCAGCAAGGGCTGGACACCAGATCATCAAGGTACAAGGATGGAACTTCATTCCACAAACGCACACAATCCCATTTTTGAACATGCCAGTGCATTTTCATTTTATTAGACATATTCCTGGAGTAAGGTTTTGGACTATGAATAGCTCCCATGTGTTATTAGCTGGGAGAAGATGATAATTTGAGAGTGCAGAGCTCTTCCAGTTCCTGAAAAGGCACAGCTAGCTGGAAGCCTGACAGCCTGAAAAGCAGATATGGATTGTTTTATTCCGGCCTAAATGACATTTATCCAGTGAGCCCATTTCTGAGTGCAGTTCAAACACCAGGGGCTATACAGGGGGCTTGTTTTATGACCCAAATAAATTAATTTCAGACAAAGTAGCTTGTAACCTCTGATGGCACTGACCCACTTATAAAAGTTATTTTCGTCGAGTGCATAATACTACTGGAGCCTAGGCTTAGCCACTGAACAGTTAGGCCACCCCTCTCCTTTTGGCTGTTTTTTTTTAATCGCATAATTAAAAACAACGGCGTGTCTGCCAAACACTAGATTTTTCCGCCACGGGATCTCACTCCCGCACTCAGACATTTTAAAAACCGCTGGCGAGCTATTAAACTATCAATAGCTGAGCCGTTTTATGGTATTACCATTCAGCAACAGAAGGGGACAGACTTATTAATTGAGGGGACATGCTCCCGCATGCGGTTGCCAAACAGGGGAACGTCAGTCCAAAGCAATTTAATTAAAACCGAATTAGTTTAAAGTCAAAGCTGAAGAAAGTTGAGCTTCAGCAAATCCTTTGCCCCCCGGTTAGGATGGTGGGGTAGCCCTTCTGAAAGTTAACGAGTCGCGTTGGTGCAGCCGGGGAGCTGTAGGCAGCGTAGTGGCTGAACGTCTTTCACGTTTCTTAAATGAAATAACCGAACCAAAACTCCGGCATAAACCTTTCTTATAAAACGTAGGATAACACCGCTGTCCGAATGCATCTCGCAATTAGATTATTCGCCTATACGTTAGGGGGGAGCACAAAGAGAATTAAGTTTATAATGAGTATCAAATTAGCAGCAGTCGAGGTCTACTATGATAGAAGCATGACAGTTGATTCTGGGGGTCTCCTGGATGGCGCCCGGGAAGTGCTTTTGTGCAAGCGGCCACAGAATAGTTTGACCCCCCCCCCGCCCAGCACTCAAGATTAGTTCAACCCCCATCTCTGCCGGATGGCCCCTCAATCACCCCGCAGTAGCCATGGCAACCGGCTAAACTCAGCGGCCGGCGACAAAGCCTTAAATATGAATCGCGAAAATGAAAAGACACTTGCTATCCATTTTCCAAACACGCCTTGTGCCTTAGAGCAGGTTTCCCCAATTCAGACGCGAAGTTACGCTCCTGATTGTTAATGTCAGCGTAACTTTATAATGAACTTTAGATGATAATACGCAGCCTGCGACAACTTTCAGAAACAGGAAAAAAACAAAACAGATTTAGTACCTCCGTCCCCCAAGCAGGAGTGCAGGCACTTCCATCGGGCGCTCTCGAAGTAACTTACCTTTTTCATCATGAGGAGCTTTTTTTAAAATTGTGATTTAGGCTGAAAGAAAAAATCCTTCCGTCGGCTCAGATCGCGCAGGGAACGGTGACCGAGTTTGAAAAACGCATCGCCTCTTCCTCCTTCTTCATCCATGAATCGCATCGCCTCTCCGGGCTCTCGGAACCGCGGCTGAAGACCCGTCTCCACGGCGCCGTCTCAAACTGGAGAGCAGAGATTTGCTCGGGGCCGCCACGGTTCAGGGCGAAGATGAAAACTTGAAATACAGTATCGTCTCCTCCTCACCTCCCCCCACCCTCCCAACCGGTCGGTGCAGCCGCACACGGAACAAAACTCGCAGTATCGCAGGCAGGCGACTGAACACCATCAAGAGGGGAAACTAGAAATACAGAAATCAAGAGAGAGAGAAAAAAAAACCCCAAAACGTATAAATGTCCACTTAAGCAAGAAATGCACGCTTCTCAGAAATGAGATGTGTGCCTGTGCACAGGTTCCCCTCGGTCCAAAACAGCGCCCTGAACCCGCCGTGAGGCGGAGTTACATACTTGAGTTGAACTGCAAACAGCCGGGAACGAAAAGGCGAGGTCTGGCACTTCGGGCATTTCACAGATTTGCGGAAATCTCTCTCATCTGAAAATAAACCCCGGCGAGCACTTCGTCCATGTGCAAACTCGCTCACATCGTCCCTCCAATAACACGGGCAGGCTAACTGCTGGGTTTCGCACACGTTTGACCTGATGGACAGTAACGGCACTGGAGATGGGAACAATTGCCCTCCCTCCCTCATCCTCCTCTCAAAGAGAGCACAAAGGTGGTCGCATCTACTGAGCAGCGCACAACTCCTTAATAATAATAAAAAAAGGTCACAATATAATTATTCAACATTTAAACGCCAAAAGACGTGTGCGGGCTTGATTCAACGTCTGCAGTTATCTCGCTGATCCCCAAATTATTTCTGGCTAGGATTCGCACCTATCGAACTCCCTCAACGCTGCTATTAACAATAATTTCCCGTTTGATGATAAAAAAGACAAACACGGCGTTTTCTCTGGATGACTCCATTCCCGATTACTGCGTAATTTTCCATCCCACGTTATAAGAAAGCGACTTAAAAGCGTAACAGAAGCAGTCGTTCTAATAATTTTAGTTAATTTCCTGATCAATCTAAAAAAAAAACGTATGATGACAATTAGATTTAAATATTGTTTTAGCTTTCAAACAGTCGCATTCCAATAATTTCTCATTTTGATCCCGGCTACGTATGTTTTCTATTTCCTGTCATTTCAGCCGCAATATAGAGTTCAGGCCAATTATATTAACAGAGGCAGAGAGAAGCTACAACCCCATAACTGAAGCCAGTATCAGAAGAAAGAGCCTGTCCTTCTAAAACAACCTCCCTGTGGAGATTTCCTGTATGTCTTTTCATTCCAAAAATGCCCTGAACTGCTTAAACTGGAAACGTGTAGCTACTTTGAATAAAGTACGTTTGGTTCACATGTGACTCCAGGAATGCGAATTAACACGTGCACAGATTATGCAAATAAAACTGAGGATTTGGTTGCCGGTTGTCCCGAATTAAAACCGTAATAACCTCGTTTTCCATTTAAAAAAAAAAAGATGCATGGTTTCAGATGAGATTTTGTAAAACGGTTCCGGAATATTTTAAAAGCAAACCTTGCAGTACCTGAACAGACAACGGAAAATCTGAAGCTCCCAAACCCTACAATAGCTTTTCCAACTAGATCCATCGTATTTACTTTGTGGGTTCCTTTCTGTTCCAGTGGAACAACCTAAGCGCGAAGAGGAAAAGGTTAAGGTTTATCCCATGCTGAAAAGAAAAGAGACACGACGTCTCTTCTTTGGAGTTTCTTCTTTTCAGACGAAGAAGGCTCCACAGTCGAAATCCTGTGTGCCTTTTTTCCTTTTCAGCTTTGAATAAACCTTTATCTGATCCTTTGCAGCCTACGCATGCTGACGCAGCTCCCTACCTCAACTTCTTCAACTACAACTTGAGTCAAGGACTGAATTTGTGACCCTATACCTGCAGCCAGGACGAGCGCATGACACACACCCCCTCCCTCCTCAACAACAAAGTACTAAAACATGTCGGGTGGCGGCAGATATGAACTGAAAAGCCCATTTCTTAGATAAGCGGTCTTGTACCCGAGGCGAAGGGGACCAGTCTGCTCACCAGCCGCTGGGCTGCCCTCGTGCCTCACGCGCCTTCCCTTCTCACTTTCAGGTCCGCGCGCCTGGCTCTCGCTCGCTCGCTCGCTCCGCGCGGCTCTTCCCTCTCGCGGTGTTTGGGCCGGGAATTGCGATCCAGCATGGCGGCCGTGGCGCTGGGGAGGTGCTGCAGAAGACTCCTGCGGACCGGAGGCCATGGCGGCGGCGGGACGGCGCCCTCGTCCAGCAGTGCAGGCGGTCAGTACTCTGGCCCTTGCTAGCGGCCACGCAGCTCGCGTTGCTGAAACACGGGGGGTGGAAAGTATCCGTCGCTGTCGGGAGGAGGAAGGGAGAGATCGCAGGGGGAGTGTTAGGGGCCCAGGCAGCTCCAGAAGGCCAGGGAGCGACTTTTTCCTCCCTAAAGCGGTTTTCCAACAGACAAGATTAACGTTTCTTTGTAATAAAATGTGTAAAAACGCAGCGTGTATCCGGCAAAAACAATAATAAATGCGCCTTGTCTGTTCCTGCTTTAGATTGTCCTAGTCTGGGCGGCTTAATTGGAGATGTAACACCAAACACGGTTAGCTGTGCATTTAAAACGCTGTTCTACATCACCTCGTCATTTCATATGCAGTCGGAAAAAAAACATGATCCGATAGGGAGGACGTCTATCGGAAGCGTGGAAGCTGACCGATGACGATTCGCGTTGCCGGTGACGGTTTTTGAGGAAACTGCGAGTCTCGCTGGTTGAAGGTTTTAAAGGGGATGGTCCTGTAAAGACCCGGGCCGTTGGCTCAGCGCTCCGTGCTGCGGGGGAAGAAACGCGATGTTTGTTTTCGTTCGGTTATGTTCAGTCTGACTGCTCTGCTGTACGTCGGAAATCTCCTTAGTATCGCCTACCGTCGGAAAGGGAACAACGTTTTAATGCCTCGGCAAAATAGTTACAGTTTAGAACATGGAGACAACAATAAAGGCCGAAAATCGGACAGCGCCGGGTTCGATGTCGTTGTCACGTCTTTTATGATAAATTCAGCCGGGGACTACAGACACCATTGCCATGCTCATTCTCTTGTCCTTCTCACACTGAAGATGACTAATCTTTCAGTAAACTGCACAGGAACCCGTGTTTCTCAACACTTCACCACGCTGGTGCTGGACTCAGGAAGTTCGGTACGGTTTATAACTGAGGGTTTTCCGGGTACCTAAGAAAAGTCATAAAAAAATGACATTATATTTCTGTGTATCTGTCTGCATACTTTCAATGAAAAAAAAACAAACAAAACAGTTTAATTTAAAATATCCCCTTGGTTATGGGTGTCCTTCTGGAGTGTCTTAAGAGGAGGTCTCAGGACCAAGGTGGGCTGTAAGCGTGTGACAGGACTGACACGTGTGGAAGACTTGTACACTACAGCGAAGGTAAAAGGCTCTGTCCTGGCGTGTGGGGTGTCGCGTTTGCAGTGGTTTGACGCAGTGAAGTGTGGCCTGGTGGCCTTCAGCTTTAAAGAAACTGTCCCGGGTTCGCTCGAACAGAAGATCTTGTCCTTCTCTGGATGAAATATTTGGAGAAGTATATGTACTGCATGTCAGTGAAGCCAAGTTCATTTGATAGACCTTCCTGTGGCATTAACGTGTTTAAGGCGAGATTTGGCAGCAGAAGTGCAGTCTTCCGCGCGCCGCAGGCCGACCCTGATCGCAAGAGCCGAGACGGCGCGTGTGATGTTAGCCGTGTCTGAAGATTGAGTGTGCGTCTGTTTATTATTGCGCAGGATGGGAAACGTGGGGAAGGCCGGGAGGTGGCTGAGTTTGCGGCAGGTACAGTACAGAGATTTGCCTCTCGGTATGAAGCCCCACGGGCAGCTGAAACTAGAGCATCCACAGAAAAGCCAGGGGATGGTTTTCACATGGTGCCAGCCCACCCAGAGCCTAGTTACCTTGCGCCTGGGGGTTCAGAACCTGGCTATACTGTGTGCCTCTGTTTCCCACAATCAGCTGCTCTCTTTCACTCAGCTTATACTGTACATCCTTACCCACCATAGATTAATTTTGACCTTAGTGATACTTTATAATACTTCATAGGATCCTTTCTAATTTTGTACATGTATTGAAACGTCTCACAAGTGAAAACCAGTAGGAATCATGCAATAGATTCTTTGTTCATTTAACCACCTCTGGTTTTTCCTGTTTTGTGGCCTTTTAGGTTGTGAAAATGAGATTTTTACCTTACTGGAATGTGACATCTGCAGCAAAGCACTAACATTCCAGTTCAGCTGTCGGTGTTTAACTATGGTGAAATTAAACCCTTATGTGAGACAGTTCCTGTAAATAACTATGCCTACATTACACGCACGAAGAAAGCCTTTTGGTTTGGGGGAGTATCGTAATTATCAGTGCTTGATTTCCGTTTCTCATCCTGTGCTGGTGCGTGTCTGACCTGTGATAAAGTATTTTGAACTGAATTGAATAAACCGACCCAAAGGAGAAGATATTTCATTATCATCTAGGGGATAAAAAAAACACTTGTGTCAAATTAAGGCTTAGGATCAAAGCAAAAGTGATTACTTGTTCAACTCAAGTTTCCCTTTTAAGAGCTCATCAGTTTTGTTGTTGTTGTTGTTTTTCTCCTTGAAGGTGTTAGGCACAAGTCCTCAGTGCAGTATTTAAGTCGCCCCGACCTCCCGAAGCTGGCCTACCAGAAAGTCAAAGGCAAGAGTCCAGGGGTGGTGTATCTGCCAGGGTTTGCCTCCACCATGAATGGACAGAAAGCAGTGGCCTTGGAAGACTTCTGCAAGTCGCTAGGCCATTCGTATTTGAGGTGATTCATTTTAGAACTCCAGAGTGGGGTCTTATGATCCTGGATTTGTTACTGGAGCAACAGCAGTTTTTGTTTGTTTTCCAGTTTAACAATAACACAGCCTGTTCAGATATGCGTATGAATGTCCTTCTCATGTACTGAAAGTTGCACCTCCCAGCTCCCTTCTCCCGGGCACCGGTGAAGGTAACCTTTGAAATAAGGTATTGCAGTGCTTAAACTTTGCCCTTTGTTTCAAATAGGTAATGCATTGACAGTGCAGTGTTTGATGTAATGGTGTAATGATTGCTAAAAGAAAAACATCGCTTCTACAGGTGGCAAGCAAAAAAAAAAGAAAATGAGGAACACCAAGAACAGAGAAAACTGAGGTTCCACACAAGTCTGGCTCATGTTTTAATGAAGCAGTTAACACCCCGCCGTGTTTAGGGTCATGTGTAAACCATGGACCGGATTGGCTGTCTGTAATTACAGCAAGGGGTCGAGTCGTTTCAAACGAAGGCTGCAGTAAACCTGACGCACTGAAATGAGATATCTTAAGCTGGATGCTGTAATAAATATGGCTCCCGATCTGGAGAAGCTAACCCATTATAACAATGATAATTGATGATACCTCAGAAAAACAGCACCATTGCTCATAGCAGGGGGGCGCGATCGTTTAATAACGTGTACCAGTGCCGATTCCGCAATGACGTAGGGTCAGAATGCCAGCCTGTGATATGTACCCCCCCCCTGGGGCTTTCTCTCAGGTTTGACTACACAGGTTGTGGGGAATCGGAAGGCGTGTTTGAAGAGGGCAGGATAGGCACCTGGAAGAAGGATGTGCTGGCGGTGCTGGATGAGCTCACAGAAGGCCCCCAGGTCAGTCTTGCCTCCGGTCAGTCTGTTCAGAGCAGCTCCCAGTCCTCCCGGGAGAGGAGACGGTAGGTGGTCTCCCGTCCCAGCCTGAGGAGCAGACGGTAAGATTTAGAAAAGTTTAAGTAGGTAGCTGCATCAGCGTGTGCGTAGGCTACAAAAGGAACAAGCAGAGAAAAGAGTTCAGGTTCCACAAGATAAAAAAGGCTCCACAGCCGAAACATTGCGTCTCTTTTCTTTTCACCATGGAATAAACCTTTGCTTGTTCCGTAATTATAATACAGTGTGTGATCTCCTGTCCCAGCCTGGAAAACATTAAGCCCATCTCTAGGTAATGTTCTATGTGTTGTACGTTGTATGTAAATGTCCTATGATGTGTTTGTATAGTAAATGTCTGTCTATGTTGTGTCAATTGCATATGCTGTTGCAGCGCTGTAATTCCTCGGCCATGCCAGTAGAGCTTGTTGAATTGAAGTGAATGTTCAGAGGCGAGTGGGCGTGAAGCAGAGCCCAGCCACAATGGGCCCGTACTGAAGGAGCCGTCCCGGATTGAGCTAGCAGTCACCCCCAGACCTCTCCGGGGAGCGGGGGGCAGTGCTGGGAGTGTGATCGGGGCTCCCCCTCCCCCGCCTCTGTCAATTCAGTTCAATTCAAGGTGCTTTATTAGCATGACCGATGGGTACAGTCAGTGTTGCCAAAGCAAATAAAAATAATAAACAAAACAAAAAATAGAAGTAAAATAAAATCTACAGACAT